CCCGTCTTTAACATTTTGGATTAGGTGTGTGTAGAGTGCGGATATTTGGCCTTTTTGTGTCGGGGATTGCATGCATTGTTTTTCGAAGGATGTGAGTTCTTTAGTTCCTGCTTGTTTGGTTATTGGCATGTCTAGGAAGCTTTTGATTTGTATGTGGCGGAACATGTCAAATGTACGGTATGGTGTTGTATGTGGGAGCTCTGGGAAAGGTATTGGTTGTTGGTTTTTGTAGTAGTGGAACAGTCGAGTGAGATCATTTGCCTCGAAGCGGGCGAAGTCTTTGGGTGTCATGCCCGGTGGGAAGTGGGTGTTGCGAAGTAGCGGGGTTAGTGGTGAGTGTTGGGTTGTAAGGCCGCTCTTGTGAGTTGTTTTGTCCCATATGTTTATGGTGTTGAGTATCGCCGGTGATGTGCGGGGCAGCGGGGGCCTCGCTGATTTCTGTAGCCAGATGTATAGTGAGGGGAAGTCTCTGCCGAAAATGTCGTGTTCAAGGTCTACCCAACGTTTAACTCCGTATGGGGCGTGCCAGTTTTGGGCCTGCGTTAGTTGGGCTGCCTGGTAGTAATGTGTAAGGTGGGGTAAGCCCAGGCCCCCGGCTCTATTGGGTACATATAGGGTTTGGCGTTTTATTCTGGCGCGTCTGTTGGCCCATATAAATTTGTCGATGGTTGTTTGCAGTGTTTTGAAGTCGCTGCTCCGGATTGGGATCGGTAGGGTTTGGAATAGGTATAGAAGCCTAGGGAGCACGTTCATCTTGACTGACGCTAGTCTGCCCAGCCACGAGATCGGCATGTTTTGCCAGGTAGAGATGTCGTGGGTTATTTTCTGTATCGTGGGTGTATAGTTCAGAGCATAGCATTGGGGTAGGTCTGCCGGGATAGCGATCCCTAGGTATTGTATGTGGGTGGGTTTTAGTCTGAAGGGGTATTTTTCTTGGATGGCTGCTGTTGTGGAAGGGTCTATGTGTATTGAGAGGGCTTCTGTTTTATCTATGTTTAGTTTGTACCCTGATACCGCCGCATATGCTTCTAGGGCGTGTAGAAGTGGTGGTAAGGAGGTTATGGGTTCCGTGATTGTGATGAGTAGGTCGTCTGCATATGCCGCCGTTTTATATTCTTCCTCTCGTACTCTGAGGCCGGTTATGTCGGTGTTGAGCCTGAGGCTCTGTAGGAGCGGTTCAAGGGAGAGTGCAAATAGGACTGGGGATAGTGGGCATCCCTGACGCGTGCCGTTGTAAATCGTGAAGGAGGGTGGTTGTGTATGTGGGAGGAGTAAGTGTGCTTGAGGTGTGGCGTATAGTACTGTCAGCGCGTTCCTGAATTCTTGTGGGAATCTGAGTTTTTCGAGAGTCGCGAATAGGAAGGGCCAAAGTAGTCTGTCGAAGGCTTTTTCTGCGTCAAGCGAAACTATTAAGGTCGGGATTTGTCTTGTGTGAGCTGTCCAGATGAGGTCGTATGTCCGTCTAGTGTTGTCGCTAGCCTGTCTCGTGGGTATAAAGCCCACCTGGTCTGGGTGGATTAGTCGGGTTAGATATGGGTTGAGGCGGTCTGCTAGGAGTTTGGTGAGTAGTTTGATATCAACGTTGAGGAGTGATATTGGTCGGTAGTGTCCTGGGTCTAGGAGGGTTTTGTTGGGTTTGGGGAGGAGGCATACATTGGCCTGTAGCATGTCTGGTGGTAGTTGGTCGCCTGCCAGGATCGCGTTGTAGAGGTTGCAGAGGTGGGGGATCAGGGTGGATGCGTAAGTTTTGTAATAGAGTCCTGTGAACCCATCCGGGCCCGGGCTTTTATTGGGTTTCAGTGTTTTGATCGCTCCTGCGAGTTCTTCTGGCGTGATGGGGTTGGCTAGTGCTTCCTCTGCTTCTGTTGGGAGGGAAGGTAGTGGTACCTGTTGTAGGTATTGGTCAATAAGTGTGTTGGTGTGCGTTGGGTTTTGTCGGGTTGTAGGTGAGTGGTCGTACAAGGCTTCAAAGTATTTCTGAAAGACGCCGGCTATCTCGCTCGGTTTTTCTGTGAGAGTCCCTTCTGGTGTGTTAATTTTGGTGATCTGTTTACGTTCTGTTCTCTGTTTGAGTTTCCTTGCGAGTAGTGTGTCTGCTTTGTTTGCTTTGTCATAAAATAGTTGTTTTGACCACAGTAGTGCTTTGGTTGAATCTTTCGCCATGTATTTTTTTATTTTTGTTTGGCATTCTGCAATTTTTCCGTTTGTTTCTGGCGTTGGGTTAAGTTTATGTTGGGCCTCTAGGGTCCTAAGGGTCATTAGTGTCTTTTCTAGGTGTGCTACCTGTTTTCTTTTGTGTATGGTCGCTTGATTTATCATGACTCCCCGGATTACTGCTTTGTGTGCTGCCCATAGAGACCCTTCGGAAGTTGCTGAGTCCTTATTTAGTGTGAAGTATTCTGTAATAGCTTGGGCCACATTTTGTCGGATTGTTGGGTTGTGTAGTAATGTGGGGTTTAGTCGCCAAGACCAGGGTCTTGTCGTGCATGGTAGGTTAAGTGTCAGGGTAATATCTGCGTGGTCGGACCACGTGATGGAGCCTATGTTCGTGTTGTTTACCATGGGTGCCAGTGCCGGGGAAATGAGGAACAGGTCTATGCGGGAGTGGGATTGGTGAGGGTGCGAGAAGAATGTGTAGTCTAGGGATGAGGGGTGATGGGCTCTCCATGCATCGATCAAGCGAGTTTTTGAGATGAAGGTAGAGAGCATTTTGTCTGCTTTGGCTGTTGGTTGTTGGTGGTGCGTTCGTGATTGTGTGCGTCGCCTGTCTACCATTGGCGAGGGTGTGGCGTTGAAGTCTCCGCCCAGTATAGAATGGTGGGAGGGGAAGAGGGCTAGGTGGGCTTGTATCGTATGCCAGAATGCTTTGGAAGGGGTGTTCGGAGCATATATTGACGTGAATGCATAGAGGTGCGTGCCTATTTTGCCTGTTACAGTGAGGTATCGGCCTTGCGGGTCGGCTATAGTTCGTTGGATCGAGAGAGGGCATGATTTCCGAATGATGATGGCTACTCCATTGTGTTTGTCGTGGGGGGAGCTGGCGAAGTGGTTAATTCGGTAGTGTCGGCTTAGGAGAGGGAACTGCTTGGTCCGGGTGTAATGAGTTTCCTGCAAGAGTAGTATGTCCGCCTTAGATCTGTTTGCCCAGCGCATTACTTGGTGCCGTTTGGTGGGGTTGTTTAGGCCCTTGCAGTTTATTGATAGGCAGGTCAGGGTTGCCGGCATGCTGGTGGGTGCGGTGTTGTTCTGCTGGTGTGTGCCTTCTTGTTGTAGTGGGTTTGGTTCTGAATCTGTATGTTTGATGTACCTTGGGGAGGGGGGTGGAAGATGGGGGGGGGAGGTGGCAATGTAGGATGTAGGGCTGTGGGTGGGGGGGTGTTGGGGAAGGGGTAGATGGTTTGGATCCTGGTCTTACTAGTTTGTTGCCAGGAGATGGGCGAGCGGGAGGGTGTGCGAGTTTCTGTCTGTTGTAAGGGGTGTTGGTCTCCTCTAGTTCTCACTGTATGGTTGAGGTGAGATTAGTTGAGTTGGTTTGTGTGTTCGTGGGGGGGAGAATGGACTGTAAGCGTGCCCTTCGCTCCCCGCCCCGGGGTGTCTGCGTGGGTGCATCTCGGTGGGGTGTGATGTGTGGGTGGGGTTGGTCATGTTGTGCGTTTGGATTGCTTTTGTGAGTACGTGGATGTACTGCAGCTTTAGTGGGGGTGAGTGTGTGACTGTCCCATGGTGTCGTTGTGTGCGTACCTGGTGAGTCGGTTTCGCAGGTCTAGGGGTTCTTGTGTGTTGTCATGGATCGCCGGTCCTTTGTGTAGGTCAGCTGTTGTACGGAGGGGGCTGGCCAGGGTCTGTCCGGTAGCTGTAGGATCGTCCGCTTCCCTCATCACTGTTGGTTGGTGCTTGTTGTTGGTCTGTGGAGGGGGTGTTTTTGGACCGCTCTGAGGAGCCGTGTGTGGTATGGTACCTGTGTTTAATATACATGCACAGTAACATTTTATAATACATAGTAATGGTTAGTTAAGTCTTGCGTGTGGGTTACATAATAAGTAGCATTGCGGTAATTTTTCTTGTTACTATCAAAGTCACATGCTGCCCTGGTATGCCTTGGACATGCCTTTCAACCTGAACCCATGTGCCGACATGTCTGTTGTGTGGCATCCTTTTCCTAACCCAGCAGTGCTTGTGGCTAGTAGCGGGGTCTGCATTTAGTCCCTTAGGCCTTGGTGTAGTAGCTTAGGGCCTCCTGTGACAGTCTACAGGTTGTGGCCCTGAGATTCAGTTGGGGACTGGGGCTAGCTGTGCGCACCGGGTAATATGTTAGCGTAACAGGTGAAACTGAACTAAGTATAGCTTTGGCGTGCTTGTGAGACATGTATACTGCTAGGCGACCCATGGCCTCTCGTGGGAGACGTCGTGGGTGGTCCAACCGTGCGGCTGAGGGGGGTGCTGTCCGCCACTCTGAGGTGGTGTGAAGTCCCTGAGTGCCCTGTCTACTCGGGGGCATTTTGTGCTTCGTTACGTAGTATATGTTAGCATGATAATTCAGGCTTGGTTGTTGAGTACCTGTTGGTTTGCAGTGGGAGATTTGTTTTTTTACTATCTGGGGGGGGGTCGTGTGTTGCCCCTGAGGGCCTTGGTCGTGCCTTCCAGAGGGGTTGCCTATGCTGCCATAGCTGACCTGCGGTATCCTATCTCAAGATTGTGCGGCGGGGTCTACTAGTTAACCCCTGCGTGCGGTTATTGTGTCGTATGGGCACTGTCTACGGCTTATGGGTGTTCAGCCTTGGGGGTGTATCGGGTCCCAGGCCCGGCAGTACGCTCAGATAAACATTCAAGCATAACGGGTGTATTTTAACTATATACAGCATTGAGATAACATTGAGATAACATTAGAGTAACATTGTGGTGTGCATACTACCAGTCTTTTAGAGTCCGTGGTTTGCGGCCTTGGGTTGGTTTCAGGTTCCCGGTATGGGGTTGGTGCCAGTAGCCGTCTTTTGAGCCTATCAGGTGTTCATGTCGTCTTGCTCTGGTTGCGTTGGCGGGGACCCTCGCTTAGGTTGCGGGCGTGTTGGGAGCGTATGGGGCCCTCCTCTGCGGCTCGCAGTCTCTTTCGTGGCTTGGTTGGGGTCTTGTGCTGGGTAGCGTAAGGTTATCCCAAGATGGTCGGCAAAGTCTTGCATATCTGCTACCTGATGGAGGGTGAATGATTGTTCCCCCTTTTTCACCGACAATTTGAAGGGGTGTCCCCACATGTAGCGCCATCCGGCTTCGATCAAGGCTGTGGTAAGGGGCTTGAGCTCCCGGCGTTTCTTCAGTGTGGTCGGTGCTAAGTCCTGATAGAAGTGTATTTGTTGGTCTTGGTAGGTAGGCTGGTGGGCTCTTGCCGCTTTCATAAGCTGTTCTTTGACTGGAAAGTATAGGAGTTTCGTTATGATATCCCGTGGTGTGTTGGGGTTGTAGGTTGGGGGACGCAGGGCTCTGTGTGCCCTTTCTATGTATAATTCTTGATCTGAGGCGTTAGGGAGGAGGGACTGGAAGATTGCTTTGATTGTGGGGAGAATGGCGTCTGGAAGGACTGTTTCAGGTATGCCCCTGATGCGTATATTTTGTCTGCGGGATCTGTTATTGAGGTCCTCCAGTCCGTCTTCAAGGTAGAGCATTCTGTCTTGCAGGAGCTCTGTGTCCTTGTGGAGGGCTGTGGTTTTTGTTTGGGTGTCCTTTATCAGGCGTTCATTGTGGTCTGTTCTTGAGGTCAGTACCTCCAGCTCTTTCTTGAGGCCTGTGATTTGTTTCTCCAGGGCTGCTGCAGTGTAGGCTTTGATGTCTGCTGATGTCTCCCTGAGCATGGCCCGGAGGTCCTCTTTGGTGAGGGGGGTGGCCGGGGTTTTTTCTGCTTCGCTCCCCTCTGAGTCTGAGCCGGAGTCTGCCTGGCTGTGGGCCAAAGATGGCCGCCCGTCTTCTTTGGCGCGAAACATCGTCGCCACCGACGGCGTGGATTCCTTCCGTTTTTTGTTTCCCCCCATCGGTAAGAGGTGTGTGGGGTCTTTGGGGGCCCGTGGGAGGCGTTTGGGGGCGAGATGCACCTGGTAGCCGGCTGATGTGCGCGGGTATTTCGGCCGGGGCGGGAGAGCTGCAGGCCCGTGCGTCTTACTCCATTGAAGGTTAGGCTCCGCCCCCATTATATCTTTTTTAATTCTATCAATCTCACTAGTTCTTATAGAACAAGTCCTAGACATATTCAATCTCTCTAATTTAGAGAGTTTAATGTGTAAATCAGAGAGTGTACTTTCCTTCTTATTCTTTTTTTGGGAGCCAAGTTTAATTAATAACCCATGGACAAAACACTTGAAGGTACACCATAGTGTAGGGAATGAGACAAGCCCATAATCGTTAATATCAATAAATCTCTCAGTTTCACTTTTTAGGTGGTCCAAATTGAGATTAGAAGCCAACAAGCTTTTATTGAGACGCCATCTTGTTCTACTCTTGTACTTCACATAATTTGATACCTCCAAAAAGACTGGGGTGCGGTCTGACTAAGTAATACTATCGATCTCTACCTTTTGAGTAAATTACAAACAATTTAAAGTAGTCAGAAAAAGATCTATATGCGAATGCGACTCGTGTACAGGGGAAAAGAAAGTGTATTCACGATCGTTAGGGTGAAAAACTCGCCAACAATCAAAAAGATAATTTTTTAATTAAAACCTCATGAATCTCCACCTCTGAATTGCTGGTTTTATCCTTTTTGAGTAGTTTTTGGTTTTATTTCTATTTAACGTAGTATTGACTACAGAGTTAAAATCACCGCCCGTAATAAATCTACCACACTGTATCGAATCCACTTTATCTTGTAATTTGTTTCAGAAATTTCAGCGGTGATTTATTTGGGGCATAAATATTCACTAATGTGCATAGGATATCATTTAATTTAACAATTAAAATATGGGGGAAAAAATTATCGTCTAGGACTTGATGGACCACCTCCACTTTAACTTTATCTGAAACCATAATGGCCACCCCTCTCTTTTTTTTTTTTAAATTCTTTATTTTTCATACGATAGGTATAGCGGGCACAAATCAACTTTCGGGCTTGCGAAGAAGCCAATATTTGAGAGGACATTCTTAGACATACAATATATAACATGAGCTTACATGACATGCCTCTTTTTAATCCCTTTGTGCCCTGCCTCCCATCAAGGATTTTATGTTTAATCCAGGCAATTTAGCTTAATAAGGATCCCTAGCTCTACACAGGCCAGTTTCGTCTTTAGGCATCCTTGTTTCACCGACAGTGTAATCATGCCTGGGTGGGGAAAAAATAAATGTTGAGAAATGGAGAAAAAAGAAAAAAAAGGAAGAAGAACAATACCCCTGTACACCAAGGGGTGAAAACAGACAAAAGCAAAGAGGGTCGGGGAGGAGTGAAATGAGAAGAAGCAAGGTAAGAGAAAAGTAGCAAAGTCGAAAGAGAGGAGGAGGAAAAGAAGAAGAAAAAAGAAACTAGATGAGCAAGGGGGGGAGGGGGTTTTAATATGGGGTCTTCTAGCGAAGTCTTGTATCGAGACATATCTAAAAAAATCTGCAGGGGTTAAATGGTTACTTTATTGGAGTTCTTCGAATTGTATGACTTCCCCGTTTCTATACAGTTGGTGGATACGTTTTAGCCCGGTTCTTTCTATGTTTCTGAAGTTTCTAGGGGCCATTCCAGGTGGGTACTCTCTGTTCCTGAGTATTGGAGCCATAGGGGAGGGGGACGATGTTAGCCCATATTTGACATTATTTGCATCCCATAATCAGAGTGAATTGAGAATGGCCGGGCATGTCGCCCTTATCATAGGTCTATGTTCCTTCGGGACCCACATCGTGAATTGGGGGACGTCCACCAACATGGATTCGATTTCCACCCATCTCCGTTCCCCCAGTGGGGAGTTCCACATGGCCACCTGTGTTAGTTGGGCCGCTAGGTAGTAGTAATACAGGTTCTCCCTCTCTTTTTTTGTCCAACTAGATTGGCTGAGTAAACATTAGGGTATTTGTTAAACTTCCAGATTTTTTTTCCCCTCAAGAACCCAATGGGTTTCCTGTATCAATTGTATGCTCTGTTAAAAGTTTATATAGACAGCCTCTCTTTCGGGGAGTATTTAGACCTTTGACGTTCATCGTATCAATTTTAATTGACATTTCTATCATACATCCAACTATGCATCATCAGATCCAGCGTACCCCTCAATCGCTTCATAAACAAAAGAAAGAGAGAAAATACCACACACACAAAAAAACATTCTCACAACATTCCAGCTGAGATATACTATCATTATCTCAGCTTATCCCTGCTACTACCGCTGGGGTCAGGTCGGGTGGCGGGAAGCATGGATAGATCATTATATGATACACAAAAAACAAGGAGGAGTATATATATATATTTCCCAAAAGCGTAAAAATACCATATGGTCAGATAATTAGTACATTTGTACAGTTCTTTTCCAGGAGAGGAGAACAGCAGCGTTAGGGGGAGGATGCTAATAGAATATAATTTAATTATTTTTTTCATTACTCCATTACTTACACATGCTACCCTCATTTATTCCTCTCACCTTCTCCCTTCTTAGTAAAATTTGATTATCTCCTGTGCTAAAATCAAGATAGAATACTCTGTTAGATGCACTTGAATCAATCAATGTGACCTACATTTTTAATGTTAAATTGGATTTTTAAATAAATAATAAAGGTAATAAAGACTTATAAAAGTGCATATTAGAACGAAGAAATATTTCATAAAGTGGTTCTCTTATAGTTAAGTGAGTCGTGTCTGTGAATTAATCCTAGTGTTTCACAAGTAGTATATATAATAATCCCGTAATAGATATATTCTCTTAATTTTGAATTACATATTAAAAACTTTAAAAAAGTAAATTTATAAGAAAGTAATATAGTACAAATTCAAGTAAATCATTCTAATTTACTTAGAATTTAAATAAAATTTAATTTTAGATACAGAGCGACAAAAGTTGTGAAGGTGCATATTTTAGAAAATTTTATATCCTAAGTTTAAACTATCCTATATATCATTAAGCCATATTTTTCTGATAATCAGTATTCAACCTTTTACGGTGCTTAAAGGGCTAATACATTCCATTTAAAATAACGTGTTTTCTTTCAAGGAATGCAGTCACTTAAGAGATAATACATCATTAAAGTGGCCCTATATGTGCCTTTGAGAATGAAGTATTTAAATATATTCTATATATAAGCTTCGTAGGTAATTATTATTGGGGAATCTTACTTCATGAAATTCAATATGTCACAAGTCATCGCATCGTCAAGAATCTTACTGTCACGTATTCATCCGCTTATAAAAATGTGGTTAATGGCATTTACTGTCCACACAGGAAAAGTTGTGCCGAGCAGCAACCAAATCCACAGAAGGGTTAATGCTGAGCAGCAATTATGCAAATGGTAACCTGGTAACTGCCTTTGGGGTCAAAGACAGGTTACAGCCTATCAGAGCTAGAGGAGGGGTATTTAGGCCCAGTTCTCATCTTGCTCAGTGCCCTGTCGTGGTTTCCCTTGTGGTTGTCCGAGAGCGCGTTATTGATTTCTGGTTATTCTGGTTATTTGACTTTGGCATTGTTTTTGACTTCCCTGTTTTCTGGCATCCCTGACTCCTGGCTTTTCCTTATCGTTGTGTCTCTTTCTGTGTCCCTTGACCTCGGCTATTTAAGTGTTCTTGCATAGCAAGACCACTTAATGTTATCTCACATATATATTATTCTTATTAAGTGTTCTTGCATAGCAAGACCACTTAATGTTATCTCACATATATATTCTTATTCTTATTATAGCCAAATTTGCCACCCTAACTCCTCCCACAGTTTTTACACTACATAGACAAAAATTTACCAAAACGTGCAGATTGTTCCCGATCGGATTGCTATTACTTTGTGGAACGTTTCGCCGAATGGTTCACGGAATATCGTCGTTCTTGTGGCGCAATTTGTCCCATAGGAATGAATGGCAAAGCTAGAGTGGGAGCTGGCAAAAGCTGAAAAATCAGGACATGATTTCTAAACTGCCACCACTCCCTTATTTTCAGGCCCACCTACACAAATCTTATATCAAAACGTTCAGCTATCCCTGCTGCCACTAAACATGTCAACGGCTAAGCCATAGTCCTGATAGTTTTCACAATATAATCATTTGTTTGCAACTAACGCCGTCCATTGACATTCATTGAAACTTCACTCTACAAAGCTCAAATTTGAAGTGCAATTTCTAAACTGCGACTGTGCCTTCATTTTTAATACTTCAGAGACATACTATGCATCAAAATGTAGGTCTGGGTCTTGTGATTCTCACAATATAAAGCTCTTCGCTGTAGGATTTATAGTTT